AGACTATTTGAATTGTGTTTTCAGGTATCTGATAGTGCTGCCCTGTCGATCAGCAGCAAAGTATTTAGGGAACGTCTATGAACCAGCGGCCAGCATAACATACCCTTTGTGTTCATGCTTATCTGCCCTTTCACTGACCACATGATATTTTGCAAGATTGCACTCTGAACGACGATAAATTACGCCTTCTTGTTCTGCTATGGAATTTTCTCGCGGCATACCGTATAAATACTATTCCCCACACAGTCGTTATTGTTGTTTTTGGGGAAGTAGTTTTTTTCTCTCGACGCACTAGGACCCCATAACGTCCGGTCAGAGTGGGACAGCCTGTTGGAGGCATGGTTTTGATTCGACCCTTAGATTCTAAGCTGGATGTCCTCATGCATCGCTCCAGTGCATCACTTAAAGGTTCCAGAATTGCGCCGGGAATCTGCAAACGAAGCGCTGTTCGGTGGGACGTAACACTCGCCATTTCGTAACAGTCGTTGTCTGCGACCGTTTTTATACACAACCAGCTGGTGCCCAGTCGCATCGAAAGATACTTTAAGCACGCTGTTTGCATCATAAAGCCCTCAACCTATCCTATGCCCGTGGACGTGATTGGCAGCATGCGGCTCGGCTCGTCAGATCCCGTAATTCCGCCATGGACATCGCCGATACCTGAAAGCGTCCCAAATGGCAAGGCCATTAAAGGTGCATGCTAAAAAATTCTTTCAGGATATTTTTCGTCTCAAGCAAGAACCTATGCTTGACTCTGCCTTAACGCCGAAGGAAATGCCTGTGGGCCAAACATGCTATGAAATCCTTATCTTTCTCGCAGCAAATGTTATCACCATATCGAGCCATATCGATACCTCTCTTTCTTCAAATATCTCCCCTCCAAATCCTAATTGAACTCTACTACACTGCACAATAATTCTGGTACAGTATATCGCATAGTCTACGAAGCTCCGGCATCTCTGCTGATGCATCACTTCCAGGTCTTGTTGTCTGCTAATACTATCGCGGCAGCCATGTTTTAGGTCTATCTGAATCTTAGAAAAAATGCGAAAGCCCCTATGCGCTGCCCGCATTGCTAATATAGTCCTCCTAATAAACTCCAAAATATTCCTTCCACAGGAAGTCCTTCTCTTCGAGAACGCAGCGGCTTGTGAAGCAGCAAGACAGTTAACGGGCCGTACGCCCTACCGACTGTTGACCAATCCTCCCAGTCAACCACTGCTAAGTTTCCTTGTCGCTAACGGCTTTCGGAACATACAAACAGTGGTACAACAGCTGAAACGAGCCTACACCAAAGCCGCTTCATCCACCAATCAGCTCCTCAACC